CCCCCACCTCCCTCATTTAGGGTTTGTTATTTTTTACATTCATGTGTGAGTAATGATACAGACCAGCTCGGGACCTAACCCTGTGAAGACCTTTCATATGCTCATTTGGTTGGACAGCATTGGAAGAGCGATATGAAGAAATGAGCCATTCAGGACAATCTTCGAAAAAGGACTAACTTCCTCCCATTCTTCATAAGTATAAGTCTACATTTTTTAAAACTCTTCAAAACATTTCACATTTTCTTACGTTTCAGCTTAGTTCAACGATAAAATTTTTTTTATTGTTATTTGGTTATCCCCCCTTTTTAGTGCGCTGTTTTTTAAAATAAGGTTTCATTTTATTATGACATTATATCTTTCCTCCACAAGTGAAAGAAATATACCGTAAACATTTCCCACATACTTTTTTCAAAGTCATTTTTACCCACAACACTCAAGAATAGTGCAATTACATTTGCACACGTTTTTTCCTCTTCTCTTGTCTTTTACTTTTTTTTTCCGCGCAGGGGTGGTTTACCAGGATACACTTTCTAGTTTTATTGTTATTCAAGGTTATCTTCTTTCTGTGCCTTATGTCTACACTGGATAAAACATAAGGACAAGTCAAAAATATTAGTGAAATCACATTGCCAGGGAGGAAGAGTCGTCTATGAGGATATAGAGTGCCCATCTACGTATCGATCAGATGATGCAGCTTCATTTTACCTCACACTTGAGTTATTGGGATCCTTTTCGCGTACATTCTCACACATGAATTCTCTAGGTATTTTTTTTTTCTTTTTTCTTTTGTACTTGATGAGATGAATTTTCTAAAATTTCTCTTTCTTTCCACTCTTTCCTTGATTTTGGTTTTTTTTTTTGGATCCGTGTTTTTTCCGTCCTGCGCCTTCTTTGCGGCGGGGTGTATCGGTATGTACACAATGTCTACCTTCTTCCCCCCTTTGGTTTGTGTGGTGTTTCACCCCCCACACCCCCTTTCAATGCCCCGCAACGTTCCTTGACGTGCGGCTTCACTTCTCGACCTTCATTTTCACCCCGATGCTGGGACTCCCCGCCGGGTTTTTTTTTGGGTCATTTCTCTCACAAAACGGGGTTCTTCCTCACCGTTGGTGATACCACCTACGGCGTCGACTCGAACATTGCACACTTTTTGTTTTTTTTTGCCTTCTGCCACACGTGCAATGCGACGTGTGTGTGCGCGTCTTTCGAGGGGGGGAACTTTCTCTAACATGGACATACATTATCTATAATACATCCCACATTAACACGGAATAACTCTCCTTTCCCTTCCCCCCCCCCAAAAAAAATAAAAAAAAATAAAATATTTTTTTTTATTTTTTCAAAACCAAACTAAACTACACAATAATATAATTCAATAGGTCGTACTGGTAGAGCTGGAAAGACTGGTGATGCGTACACGTTTGTATGCCGCGAGGATCCGGGCAAGACGGTTCGCGACCTCATTGACGTTCTCGCGCGCGCGCAGGTCACGGTACCGCCGGAGCTGTTCACATTGACGTCGGGGAGTTCATACGGCGGCGGGAGAGGGCGAGGACGGGGGCGTGGCTATCGCGGTCGAGCGGGTGCCTTTCGCCAGGGCTACGCGCCGCTGTACAGATCGCAGCCGATGTATAACGATGGCCGAGAGGCCGGCCTAGGTTGCCCACCCCCGCATGGAAGCTTTAGTCCGTTTTGACGATCTAGTAGAAAAGAACAAAAAACATTTGTTTTTTCTTCTTTTCTACTATTGCAATGAGACCCTTTGAAGGGGTATGCAACCTCTTTTCTCCCCCCCCTTCCCCTCCCTCTCCCCCCTCCCCCCCCTTCCCTTCCCTCATGGAGTGGGAGACTTTCGGCTACTTTAGATACTAGGATAGATCAAATAAACATGCTAAAATATATGTCTAGCCATCTTTAGGCTAACTACTTGTGAGTGTGGCATGATGTGTGGCTCATGCTTGAGATAGAAGTGGTTGTGTGTCCTCCTTCCCCCTTATGAAGGGGGATACAATGGGCTTCTGCAAGGAAGATTCTTTCTTCAGAAGTGTGTAAGTAATTCCTGAAGTATGCTATTACAACTTCTTGTTTTTTTTGATCCAAAGGTACCTATTTTCTCCCAGGATTGATTTTAAAACATTACCTAAGATCGCTGTAGTCAGAAGTGTAAGAGAAAATTTTAATAAATTGTGTGCCCTAAGTGTGACTGTGAAGACGTTAAATCAATTAAAGATAGCTTGTGGAGAAATATATACAACTTTACTGGTTACCCTAATAATTACAACATGATGTGATAATCTAATGAAGTCTGGGAAGAGAAGTGAAAAGTCGTGAATTCCTTTTAGCTGAATTCATTTTTTGCAACTTTCACATAATGTCATTTTTAGTTTCAGTGTTACAACTGAATGTTTAATTAATTTACTTTTTTATAAATATACATATTTTCATGTTATCAAGAGAAGTGGATTATGCATTAGTATGATAAAAATAGATATAACTTCCTCTTTAAATAATTGTCACTATGATAAATTTTATCCATCATAGGTGAAAGCTCGGAAAGTGCATATGCACAATGGACAAATGTTTTACCACAGAGTATCTTTCGATACGTATTTTTACCTTCTTTGATGACAACTTTTTCATTTATCTACACCTGCTTTTATGACTATTTTCAATTCGTTTTGTACATCGATACATATCAACGTTAGTCCGATTTTTATTCGGGCGTGTGTGAATAGGAATGGGTGGTTTTGTAGAGTAGTTTGGCCGTCAGCACTTGAGAATTCGTATTACCGAAGGCACCGACCATCTCGTTTTTTCGGTGTGACGGAGGGGGAGGGGGTTCATCCGTGACCCGTAGACCCCACATATTCTGTAAATCCTTCCCAAACTCATTTTTTTTTCTTTTTCATATTTCAGGTTTCTTGTCCTATCCCCCCCCCCCCACGCCCTTCCCCGCGATATTGGGGGTTTCCGCGCGGCCTGACATGCTCCCCGGGGTGGACGTCCGATTCCTCCGCCAGGTCGTCGCGGGGTTGTCCGCGCGGCGTCTGCACCGCCACGCCGTCGGGCCCCGCCGCAGCGCCGTTCTTCTTCTTTTGCGCTTCGCCGACCCCAAAGGCCTGGCAGG